AAGTCAAAGACAATAAAAGTAATTGTCTTTTTGTTAATGTTTCATATGACAGGCTTCAAACTTTTGAGGAAGTATAAACATCTGCCATTCAATCAGCTTTGCAGAAATAACTCAGCTAGACTAACAATATCAAGCATATTCTTGTTTCTTTTCCCCTCTAAGGTTTGATTAAGAGCAACCAAGCTGTTCTTCCTCCCTCTCCTTACTTGAAACTCAGTAGTATTGATAGGTGGATCTGTATGCTCTGTACAGTCTTGTATGTTCAATATGCCAGGTAGCTAAAGGTCAGATATGGATGGGCATAAAACTTGCTGCCAAGGCAGTGCTCTGTCTAATGGTGGCAAACTGAGGTTTATCTTTCTCTTTTTAATTCGTGGCTTGCATTTAAAGATTGCAAGCAATTCTATCACTTAGGAAACAGCTGAACCTGCTCAGCCTCATCTCAGAATTTTTATTTTCACATAAAAACCTGTGTAACGCTCATAGCAAAGCAGATTTCTACAGTCAAATAATACATTCCAGAGCATTTCTCTGGAGAGATGAAATTACCTGAATGTCACCATTACTGTTATATCAACATAAATCACTCCAATATACTCTTAAGCAATGCAGCATTTCTTACACATACACCCAGCAATAACGAAGCCTATCACACACTGATTACAGCAGAATCTATGAAAAGGCTCTCCTTGCTATTAAAGATTAAAATAGTCCCGTGAAAAACTTGCAAACAATCCCCATATTTTCTTGTTCCTATGAGTGCATGTTTTTCTGTGAATTTGGACTGCATATGCTGGTTTCCAGGGGCAGAATGTGAAAATGCTGGGTCTACTTTTAGACAACTGCTTTGTTATTTCAGGCAAACACCTGCACTGCCAAAGAAGGGCCTCAGTGTCACATGTATGGCACGTACCCATTGTCAGGGTAAAAGGGAATGACTGTGACAAATGAGAAGCTTTTTCAGCTAATTCATTTTGTGTGTAGTCATCTCAGAGCCATGAGGCTCCAGCTGGGACTGGTGCCTGATTACACTAGAAGCTGTACCAAGTCAGCCTCCTTCACTGAGCACCTTGGGGGCTTAAGCAGACAATCCCACAAATAGTGAAAGAAAAGAACTACAGTTGTTCCTCTTCTGCAAATGAGGAGCTAAGTGACAGAGCTAAAAAAAGGGCTCAGCCCTCAGCCAGTATAAATTGGCTCAAGAGGATTCAGGTCATCACAAATACACCAAGTTACAGCAGCTAAAGAAAACACTGGAGTTGGATTTATAATGCCTGAGATAAATATAATGCACCCGAGCAAGATTTTACCATCTGCAATCAGTATAAAAGATAAAATGTACTTAAAAATACTTCACATGTCTTGCTTAATAAAATCCACAGCATAAAATGATGGTGCCAGTTATCAAACTAGACAAGCACAGAATGGTAACACTGCAAGAAAAACCAGACAGCTCGTTAAAATGGTAAGGTATATAATGTGCAATAAGGGACACTATACACCCACCTTTTCTGAGCAGAAAATGATTTTGCTTATAATTTTCTTAGTCCCAAAGTAACTGAAATACTTGAAGAAATGAACTGTAATTTATAGTGAGGCCTGGCAAGGGGGCAAAAGAATGTTTCAAGGATTTTTAGAAGGAATTTATATGTCCTGCTGGATCTTGAAAATACTTCAAAAGAAATTTCTGGATTTTAATTACACATATCAATTATTTTTGACCCTCATCACACTTTTACATAAACACTACCTACACTTTCATTGAACTCTGAAGTGTTTTCCTTTAAAATAAAACCATTGGATTGCCAAAGCATTATTTCATTCTCTGATCTGTAAGTATAATATCTTTCTATTCTCTTTGCCTTATCCTCAGTAAGCAACAAAGTGAAGGAGTGTGGAGGCTCCATACCCTGGTTACTCAGAGCCTTACTTCCCTGCCAGGAGATGGGCAGGGACATTTCCCTCTGTAGGACACTCCATTTCTATGTGCTGGTTCCTGAGCTGGCCATTTCTGGGACCACACTAACTTGTCTCTCTTAGTACACAATAACTCACTCTCTTGTTACCAGTCACAGAGAGATGAGGCAGGAAAATTAAGAGAAAACAGATGCCTGATGGATGAAAGTGGAGCTCAGGAGAGTTACTGTTCTGTGTTCAAAATTGAAAGGAAAGAGACTTGATATCATTCAAAGTAGTGACTCTCACAGAAAAAAACCCAGCACTTTGGGACTGAGGGATTCAATGCAGCTATAAATCCATAAGCAGCAGCTGTAGAGGCAGATTCAAGAAAAGAAATCTAGGATAGGAAAGAAAGATTCACATCTGACCCACTACAAAGAAATGACATGGTGCCAATAATGGCATGAGAAACATACTTTTTTTTGGTTAAATGGTATTTAGGAATATACTCAGGTATGTCACTTGAATTTCATAATAAGTACAAATAAAGTGAAGATGTAGGTCAAGACTGTTCCTTTCTATTCCTTTAATTCATTTTTATTTTCAGGATTATTTTTGAATGTTTTACATCAGTACTGATAAGGAACACTTCCACAATCCATAGATAGATGAGGATGCAGAAAGGACAAAAGAAGAGGGGGAAATCTTTACTGTGTGAGAGACTGCAGGAAGGAAAATCCATTACTTGCTACAGAAAGGTTTTTCACAAAGTCACCCCACTTGAACCTGTCCCTTCTCCTTCAGAGATCTGCAGGCCACAGGAGGTACACTACAACAGAGCCAGCCCTCTCAGCAGGATTCTTGGGCAAACTTTGCACAATTAGCTGAGTACAAGTGTGTCTTTAAAATGGTTATCCATTTCTGTAATGCTGTTTGACAGGCGTGTCTAAAATCTGCTAGGAAGAGCAATATACTCTGAGTGGCATGAAACACTCCACAGAATTCTGACAAAAGTAGTCCAGGGTGTATGGCTCCTCCCTGTAAAACCTGCCTCAGAAACTGAGGTGGATCTGTCATCAGTTTTGTTAAAGGCAAAGTTTCCATCTACCCTGACTCATCTGAAAAACCTGTCACTGGTCACCTGCCCTTATTGCTAGGTCACATCTGAGAGATGACCTTATCAATCTTGTCACTATCTGAAGGGAAGGTGTCAAAAGGATGGAGCCAGGCTCCTTTTGGTGGTTCCGAGCAATAGGACAAGAGGCAATGGGCAGAAACTGATGCACAGGGAGCACAGGGAATTCTACCTGAATATGAGGAAGATCTTCTTTACTGTGCAGGTGACCATGCTCAGGAACAGATTGCCCAGAGAGGTTGTGGAGTCTCCCTCAGCGGAGATATTCAAGAAGTGTCTGCACACAACCCTGTGCAATGTACTCTAGGATGACTCTCTTGAGCAGGCAGGTTGGACCAGATGACCCACTCTGGTCCCTTCCAATCTGGCCATTCTGTGATTCCATGTGATTTAATATTTTGCTCTCTCAACATGAAATTATTGCAGTAGCAAGCTAAAACTGCATTTTAAATAAAACATGCCAACATATTTTCACAGTCCAAATAAATAAATTCAAGTAAATAAATAACTTCATCATACAAATATCACTTAGAAATGCAATTAAAAAGAGCCTCTTGCTTTGTGTTATAAAAATATGAAAGAGTACTCAGGACAAGCTGTTTCACATAAGATTTTTCTCTGTATTCAGCAACTCCAAGATCAAAATACTGGGATTTCATTTATCAAAGCTAAAAGGATGGTTTAATACGAATTTTATATGAAGACATCTCTGTTTTTCTAGCCTGCATGCAATATCAAATTCAGTATAGCTTGATACATTTTCATTCATACTTTCATTACAGCTCTGTAAAGTACAATAATTTATTATACATTCTCTTGAATCTTTTTGAAACATTAAACAAAACGTAAAATTCAAAGGTAGAGGAAACAGAGCACCAGAAACCTTACGAGAAAAGCAGTATTATGAGAAAAACAGTATTTCCTTTCTTGTCCTTCCAGTTCTAACCACGAACCATAGTGAGCACTGGACATTGGAAAACAACACTGAACTACAGGACTCCATGCACCTTTCAAATCCTAGTACAGCAGTGGTAAAATCTGAGTGCCACCAGTGTTACCTCTATGATAATTACTCAAGTAATAGATAGCTTTTTTAAGAGAACTGAGTGTCTCAGAAACACTCTCTGCTGGCAGAATTAATAATATTTTGGAGAGGATGGACCCATTGGTTCTTTTTATATTGTTTGCTGACCTTCAGTTCAACAGACTAACATGTCTAGGACTAAGAGCAAAGTCATGGGTCTTCCATGCTTCTCTTCCTTGCCTCAGCCCAAATGACATAATTTTTCACAGAGCTTTGGGTTAATTATTCACACAAAGCTCAAACCACATACAGATGCAAAGGGGAGAGCACAGTATCACATGAAGAAGGTTTTTGGCCACATATTTGTGACCCAGACTCATTTCTTTGTAGGTAGATTGAAAGGAGCAGACATCAGGCAGATTACAATGAATCATCTCCCCAGTTAAGCTTTCAGGCAGAAGTCATTACACTACAAGGATCAGTCATCAAGTAAAAAATATTCATGTGAAAGTGGAAAGCTGAATCCTAATAGCAAATACTAATTTTCATCTATTAAAGTACCTTAGTGTATAATATCGTAAATGCTTGAAATCTGGAAGTATTTATTTCTTTTCTGAATTTATCTCATCTTCCTAAGAGAAGATTTGAATTTACGAAACAACCAGCTTCTGTTTCTTTTCCTGATGGAATTTTGCAGAAAACACTTTCTAATTTGGAAAGTCATGCAGTTCTTACCTAGCACTCTAAGAGAAATCACCAGTATTTTTGCAATAAAAGGCCAGAGGCCTTTTTTGCCAAGTTACTGAGAATGATGTTAATAATAGTGATTGCAAACTAAACATTTATTCACCTTTTCGTAGCCCTAGCTAAACACCATTTGCTCTAGAGGAAATAGAGTGATTAGGCAGCCTCAACAGCCTGAGTGGAACATTAGGAGTGTACCTGCATGACAATAAGAAGGTCAAACACCAAGATGAAAGAAGCCAAGAAGGCTCTTGAAACCTCATCACTTGGCAGAAATCCACGATTCAGCTTGTCCCAGCTGATCCAGTCAGTAGTGATGACAAGCACAACTACAGAGGTCAGAGTAAACAGAACCGTCCTGGAAGGAAGAAGAAAAAATAGATCAGAGAGAATACAATAGTAATGAAGATGCATCATTCTATTTTATCTGTCTTCTAATGGTCAACTAGTATTTTATCAGCACTTTCCCAATGATGAAAACCAACTAAAGAAAATTAAGTGCACAAACAAATCTTTTAATTTAAGAAAGAAAGCAGTCAGCTGTATCCTTAGTGAAAACAAATTTAGTAGCTAGGACTAAGCATGCTGCAAAATTAGCTGGAGATATCACTCTGGTTCTTCATTCTGTACTTTTCACTGAAGATGAAAACCAGTTAAGTAAATAAGAGAGAAGTAAAATGTACCAAGGCCTGCATGATCTAGGCCAAATTCAAATCAACTAATTGAGAAAACATTGTCTAAGGCACCAATGACATTAGAACCTTTGAAAATGTTTTCTGAGCTGTGGGAGCTGGAAGACACTAACTGTGAAGTTAAATTTTTATACATGTCTCCATTAAAAAAACATTCAATACAATAATTTTTTTTTTTTTTCAAATTCTGGAGATTATAGGAAGATTTTGCTTTGTGTTTTCTAAGATGTCCTTCATAAAAGTTTTCAACAATGTTATGACTTTTCTGAGAAGTCAAAAGTGAAAAGTGAATCACAAAAGTATTAAGGCCTCTGTATAAATGCTACAAGAATTCAAGAAGACACATTTAACTAATTCACACAATTTTGAAACACAGTATTTAAGAAAATATCTTTCTAAACTATCCCTGAAAAATACCTCTGCATCATTTCCAGCAACACTTTGGTAATACCTTACAGAGTTGGCAGCAGTGACTGATTTAATTTCTGGTTCCATGGAAGCTGGAAAATTTAGTTGGTAATTTAAGGGTGAGCAAGGCTTCTTCCAGTAGCCATAGCTGTCAGCAAAGCTGTGCTATATTAGTGGCATATCAAAACCTGCATGCATGCTCATGGCTAAATAATTGTGGCAGGATTTTTTTTCTACAGCAATAATGTCTCATTTTCTTCAGCCACTGAGGGTTGTAAAATAAAGCAAAGAATATTTCCCATTACATTTCCAAACAGGACCAATGCTCAGCAGAGGGAAAAAATATCTGTACACCAGTAGTCCCAGGCTACCAGTCTGTATGCTTTTCTTTTTATACAGCAGCCTTGTCTATCTGTGAGAAAACCAAATATGCACATAGGCAATTGTATAATACATTTGGACTCATAAACATCATTCTTCTGTGACATGATGGGCTGCACTTCTTCAATATAATGAGACACAAAATTACTTGATTGCTACCACCTTTATGTTGGAATAACTACTTTCGTTCTTAATAAATTAACTCAGTTACATGCAACACTATGGTTGACGCCCCAACAATTTCGCTCAAAAGAATTATGAGCACCTAGGCAAGAAAAAAACAGTAAATGAGGTACATTAAATGTAATTAGACCTAAGCAATAGTCAAGCTTTCTTATCCCAAAACATTTGCTTAGCTACCATCTCAACTGTCAGTACCTGAACCTGACTGACTTTTCTACAAGCTCCACTTTGGTACATACACAGAACTTCGCAAAGACAGCTCTCTCTCTCTTGCATATAGTCTCTTGAGACGCACAGAAGTGTTTTTCCCTACTTATTTCACCTTCGTATAATATCTGAAATTCTCATGGTTAATGTTCTTACTTTACCTGAAAGGTTCTCCAGAAAGAAAGCAATCCTCAGCACTTGTCTGCTGGCCAAGGCACACTCCCCTAGCCACTAGGCACCCTGATTTTCCTTGACCTCTTTCTGTGGAACCACCTCTCCTGGGGCAGAGGAAGTTTAAAACCATAATTCAAATCTGAGTATTTTGCTATAGGAAGTATATACCCAGAAGTTATGCTCAAGACTATTCTGCCTCAGTCCTCTTGAATTATGCATTTGCATTTTGGAGCAAGAGTTCAAAGCATGGAAGATCAGACTTTGGCATGTAGGCAAGCACAGGGAAGCTTATTTTTATTCATGCTTTGTTGGCATGCATGCAAAGACCCGATGTGTGTGCTCAAGTCCTGATTTCCTTGAGGAAATGCATATGCACTTAGAAAATGGCTTTGTTATTCATTCTGAAATGTCAAATGGGGGGGAAGGGAGCAGAAAATGGGCTGCTAATAGAATAAGAAAATGCGACACCAACAAATAAGGTTAGAAATAGACTTTCAAAATGGTTGCATTAAAGAGCATAATTAGTACTCAGTTGTATTTTTGACCTATGATACTGGAGCACAGCAAGATATTCAATACGTGCTTTTGGAGTTATTATAAACTGAGGTTTCTTGGGTTAGAGTTCAGTTCGCTTCTTGTGAAAGTACAGTGTCCTGGAGATTAAGAAAAAAAGATGAGGATTTCATTTAACTTGTCATAACTTGTATTGGATAAACCAGTGTGGGCTGCCCTGCTATATCTAGCCCAGTGTAGTTTGCCCTTTATTCTGCAATGCACATTATTGAGAAAGAGCTACACCGTCAACCTATTCCCCACATTGCTGGCAGGACCTCTCCTCATTACAGAAGGGGAAAGACTACAAGGTGAAGGGCAAGAGAGGACTGACTTTTCTCTGTACCAGGCACTAAGAAATGCAATTTCTGCCTCTAGTTCACTAAGGAAATACACTTTTATATTTCACTTCTAATTCTAGTTTGCTGTATTGAATGATTATGTGCCCTGGACACCTATTCAGCTGCAATAACACACATTTTACAGCCTACTGCATACTCCTTAAGAGTGCAAATAAACACTGTCTAGACCAATAGCATACTGAATAGTTAAAATTATTAGGTAGGTCCACAAAAGTCACTACTGTGCTTATCACTGCCAGTGATTATTTAAAATCCCCAGTGCTGCTGGGGAGGGATAAAAAGGGGGAGGCTGAAAGAGAAGAACTTTTACTGCCAGAAACCTCTCAAAAATAGGCAATTTTTTAGACTGTATCTCTATAATAATCTTTGATTGCCAGGACTGTTGGGTCTTGAAATTGTCAAATCAAATCACTCATGCCAAACTGAATCCATACTACAGGCCCATTTGTCAACAGAAGACTAATCTGGTTCTCAAAAACTTGGCAAGGTCCAAAACAGGTGCATCTTCCCTTCTGCCCCTTTCCACAACACTTTCTTGCACTAAAAGCTTTGACCAAACTGATCAACTTTAAGTCTGCCCTCCAGTATATTATACATTATGACAGGTTGTGAACTAAATGGACCAGAAGCCTGAGCAGGTTTTAGGCACTGGTGGTTGTTCCCTCATGGCAGAGAGGATCACAACCTAAACCTTGTAGAGAGGAAACACAATGAGCCGCTGCGATCTTATGTCCTGGATGCTTGGAGACACTCTCTTCTGCTGTTTAGCATGTCCTACCTCCCTCATGAGGAGCTCCTAAGCAGAGCCCATGAGCCACAACTCATCATCTTGCAGCCCCAAGGCAGTACCACAAGACCATTCATAGCACATCCCCTCCAAATTTACACCAGAAGCATCTTTGACTTCATCCAGCCACACTCACAGGAATCAGTCTCTTATTTGTCTGTACTGAGTGAAAAACTGAACAATCCAGAATTTGTCCCTGGAAAGAGAAAAGACAATCTAATAAATGTATACATGTTCACAAAAAAATTAATGTTGGAAACAAGAACTGTTTCCAATCTGAGTCTCATGATTCTTCATGTCTAAATCAGCAGGGCAAAGTATATAAAAAATGGATTCTGGTCTGTGATGGAACTTCATTTCTCAAACTGTAACATAGAGAAAATGAAGTTTTTCTTTCAAAGGTTAAACACAATTCTCTGCATAACACTACCTTCCCTTTAGTTGTGACTTTGAGCTGCTCATTTTTGGAGATATTTAGAAGTTTCTTCTCTTACATGACCCTCTGCTAAATCTTTTGTGGTGCTACAGCTTTGATGATCAGATAGTAAGAGTTCTGTTACGACCAACTGAAGAGATGAAAGACAAACTAGTTATTTTCCTCATTTTCATTTTGTCTTTTTCTAGAGACAAAAAACATTATCTTGCCCCTTGACTACACCTTTTCCCAAAAAACAACCCTACCTGTGCTTAGTAAAAAGTAGTTCTTAGATTTGTATAACAGCATTTTGAGAACTTTTCATGTTAATTTCACACATAATTGTCACTAAGCTGGGTCATTTGTAAATCATGAAACATTGTTAACAAGGATCCTGAGTATTGCTTAAAATGATGTTCATTTGGGATGAACACATTAGACAGGACCAAGAAACTGGTCAGTCACACTCCTTAGGGCTGCCCTTAGTGGGAGAGGGTGTCTGCCATTACTGCTGTCCCACCCACATCACACTGCCACTTCTTGGCATGTCTCTGCACTTCCTTGGGGTTTCCCCAACTCAGAAACCACTCTCCATGAGTCACAATCTCTCCCTCTGCTGTGGAATGCACCTGCACTGGCTCTGATTGCCTTGGCAACTTCTCATGAATGTACCCAAATAGTTGCAAATATCCTGTGAAAATAAATACAGAAAAGGAACAACAAATTTTACTGCTCTCTATATTTAAAAAGGCTTTCCAGTCCTCAGGAAAGAAAGATAATCCATTGAGTCAAATACTCTACATAATTTTTAATCTCAGAATCAGCACTGGCCAAATATACAGTCAGACAGTGTACAATAACTATAAAGAACAATGCTACTGCAGATGTTCATATACAAATGCCAACACTTTTTATTTCACTTGTTTTAATTAAGAAGGGCTCTGTTATTTAATCTGTCAAAAATAGCAACACTAAACCCATTCAAAATAAAATATTTAGTCTGCCTGTTGCCTGGTGTCAGAACCACTTCTTCAATTAAGCAAATAAGAGGGACAGATGCTCTGGTGGTGGAAAGCATCTGTGTTCCCTGGAGCAGCATAGCTTCAATCCTCCAGCTGGCCACTGCTCTTCTGCCCCTATGGGACAGTTTTCTGAAAGAGAGAGCAGGACCTCGAGATTTCTGTGTTTACCAGCAGC